AGAGAAACGATGCTAAATGATACTGTAAAACAAGAAATAACTAGTATATTAGAACAAAAAATGAAGCTAACATCAAGCAAAGAAGAAAGTACTGAGGAAAACTGGACGAGAATCATGCGGTGATAATCGGACAATAAGTCTGATGAGTCACGGTTTGAAGATCTTCCTGTGAGTAATACACAGCAGAATTTACACGCTGTTAGAGGACAGAATTAGCAATACTCAATTTGGGTTTAGGAGTGGCTTGGGTACAAGAGAAGCCTTGTTTCGTATACAGGTGCTAGTACAGAGATGCAGAGATATAAATCAAAATGTGTATATTTGTGCAATCGATTTTGAAAAAGCTTTTGACAAAATCCGACATAACAAAATGCTAGAAATATTGGAAACAGCTGGATTGGACGATAAAGATCTACAAATAGTTACAAATCTATACTGACATCAAGTGGCAAGAATAAAGGTTGAAGAAGAACTGTCGGATGAAATAAATATAAAAAGAGGAGTGAGACAAGGCTGTATATTGTCGCCTTTACTTTTTAACTTATATTCGGAGGAAATATTTATGAAAGCCTTAATGGAGACAACCGAAGGTATTATTGTGAATGGAGTAACCGTCAACAATATTAGATATGTCGACGATACCTTAGTCCTTGCCAATTGCGGAGAAGACCTTCAAAATTTAATGAACAAAATAAAACAGACTTGTGATCAGTATGGATTAAAACTTAACGTTAAGAAAACTAAATATATGATAGTTAGCAAACAAAATTATATACAGGATGACGGTATAAAAGTTGAAGATGCTACACTGGACAGAGTAGAGAAACTCGTGTATCTCGGCAGTAATATCAATAAAAGCTGGGATCCAACTGCAGAAATTAAAAGCCGAATAGAACAAGCCCGAGCTGCCTTTGTAAAAATGAGAAACGTACTTTTCAGTCACGATCTTAGCATTGACCTTAGAGTTCGTATGACATCTTGCTACATCCTTCCTGTCCTGCTGTATGGAGTGGAAACGTGGACTCTAACGGAGGCTATGCTTAAACGCTTGATAGCCTTTGAGATATGGGTATACAGACGACTACTGAAAATAAGCTAGGTCGACAGAGTTAAAAATGAGGAGGTCCTTAGACGGCTGAGCCAGACAACACAACTGATCGATATAATAAAGAAACGCAAGCTGGAATACTTCGGTCACATTATGAGACACCCTGAAAAATATGATCTTTGACATCTGATCATTCAGGGAAAGATCCAAGGTAATCGTGGTCCTGGTAGACGAAGAACATCATGGCTGAAAATCTAAGGCAATGGTATGGAAAATCAACTACATCGTTATTTAGAGCTGCTGTCAATAAAGTCACGATAGCGAATATGGTAGCCAACATAATATACAACGATCGATTACGGTCATGGAACTAGAAGAAGAAGAAGAAGTACTATTTATACTATTTCGGTACCTTATCATCTTTTGGTGATTTTCATATAATATTTAACTTAGACATGTCACAAGAAAGCAATTTCAGAACCTCTGTAGAACTATAATATCGAATCAGTAAAGTATTATCAACTTTAGAAGATCAGGCAAAATAAATTAGACAATACCATTGTTCCTACACCATTAATCAAATTGAACAGATAAAGTACTTACAACTTAATCAATTTTAGAAAATATAACTAAAAACTAGATTTTATCTTATAATTAACATAACAATTTATTTCTGTTTTAGGTTCATCCTATAGAGACTACGTAGATAGTTTGAAGCGCCCAACCGGCCTTAACTACTTCGACAGATATAAACAAGACTTATTCGAAAGCAAAGAAAGAAGTGCCAAAAAGATATATTCTGGAAGAACCGGCGAAACTGAATTAAACTTGATAGCCCAATATTTGGGTAAAAACTTCCTGGATACCTACAAAATCGTGGACGAGGTTGAAATCGACGTGCCAAATAATGTAGATGAAGAATCGCAGCAATTTTTGAAGAAATACGATGATTCGGACTTTAGGTTTGTAGTTGTTAAAATTTAGATTAGGTTAGGCTAGGTAGAAGGTTTCTCGATAACGATCTAGCATAGCTGTTTCCACATCGTAGAGGGAGTATTTTATTGAATAAATGTTATAATTGTGATCACTTAAAAATAATTGCTCTAAAGGGCTTTTGGCCTGTGAAATTCCACGATCAGGCAACTCCGTCCCCGTTCGGTCTAAATACTGCTCGAGATGCTGCAAAAGCGGACATTTCAACACAGAATGTTCCGAAAAGTCAATAATTTGTCCGTTCTGTGGACTCAGCCACCGGTCTACTGCCTGCCCCACAATATCAGCTCCAAAATGTCCCAACTGTAGTGGTCCTCACCCTGCCTTCTCACCACGATGTCCTCACAGAAGCGCTCATCCCGCAAACTACAATCAAACCCAGCCAGTACACACCGAGAAACAAATCCCATCCTACGATCTAACCTCTATGAAATCCCTCATTCACTTCACATCCATGCTCCTATTCAACGTCTTCCCTGAAAAGAGAAGCGCAATAACCCTATTCCTTAAATAAAATATCAAACGCAATGTATGGATGTGCCATAGCCACTTTATGCACAAATAACCTAGTCAATCAAACCTTCACTCACCTACACATCTGAAAATCACAACTCACACACCAACACACATTCATACACACACCAGCAACACCCATACACAACACTTTACCTCCTCCTAGCTCACAATCCAAATTAATAAACACCTAATCCCATATCACAATAATAAACATAAAAACCAAATTAATAAACATACAAAATTCCACAAACACACAACACAACACTACACTGTGAGCACCGACTACACTCCTTAAGAGTCGATCAAATATACACAAGGACAGGGGGAGATTGGTTTTCTGTGGTTTCCCAATCTCATTGCACAATGATACCTGATCCTAGGTGAGGACACAGCCACAGCTATCCTCCACGCGATTTTCCAACAAACAAACAATGGCCAACAATCTGAAAGGAATCGTTTTTTTCCATGGAACTTGTACTTCGTGACAGGCTTGGTATACCTGGCTAACTCTTCCGGAGGGTACGATTTCCGCCTCTTGCATTCTTCTTGTTCTCGGCTCCCTTCCAATCCTTCTCCTACCCTCTTTGACTTTTTAGCTTTTTAGCCGCGGCGCCCTTAGTCTTCGGAGTCCAATGGAAGTCATACGAGCGAAAACTGGCATTTCAAACCAAACAAGTATAAACACCCAAGTAACAAACCCACCCTTGAAGAAGCATAGAGCTTAAAGCAAGGTAAAAAACGCATTGATTGATTGTAAAGGGCTTTACGTTAAACAGATATTACGATGGTGATTTCTACAAGCATTTTTTGATATGATCTACGTAATATCTCATAAAATTATTGCCAGATTTTGCTATTCTTTACTTATTGTAAAGATCTATGCGTATATTATTTTTCAAAGAGTCACAATATTTTCAAAATTGAAAGTACTGTTTGTAAAAATTAATGTATATTACCATTTTTAATTGATTCAGCGAATAAGTATAACGTACATTAAATCAGCTGGTTTCTAAAAAAACTGATACAACTCTTAAAGCGTATTTGATAGAAAATTGAGCAGTCTATTAAGTATATAAGGATAAATACTCATTATCTACATACTGTCACACTTTTTGAGTCCGTAAATATTATAGCTTTATCAAAATTGTTTTCCTTGCAAATCATTAGGCCCTTTTACATAACTATTATTTCAGCTGTACAGATATTAATAAGTGAAGGAATTTTTTCAGAAAAGGAATAATTTATACTAGGTATGTGTACCCTTTCTCCTTGAGGAAGCCAAAACGGGCTTCCTCAAGGTTTTGGTTTTGTTGTTTTTTTTTTAAGTATCTGTAAATATTTGTATGTAATTATAGTAATAAGAATTTACAAAATTATAATATTCCCAAAAGTTAGGGGAACTATTTTTTATTGTTTTTATAATTGGTACATTTATAAGTGTAGATATTGTATTCATTTGAGTAGCAGGCTGGTATGTCACTTGTGTTCATTGATGGTAAAAACTTTTTGACTGCTGTTAGGGCGTCTATTTCTTCTTCAAACGTAGCAATTTTCAACCATAAATAGTACAATTCATACGCTATTTTTACTCGAAATTAACTGTGACAACTATCAAAGTCGTCTAGATGTTAGAAATTAAAATAATTAAGTCGTCGGTGGGATTTGCGTCTCCCTGGTTACAGTTGTTTGACAGTTGTTTGCAATTATTAAAGACAGCTTATTGTTGTTGCAACCGCAAGCGCAAATTTAGTGCGAAAATGAAAAACCTTAACGAAATTGAGTCCGCGGCTAATGATGCAGTAGCACGTTTGGGGCCCTCCAAGTCCGGAATAAAGTATCGGTTAGCGTACAAGCACTTCCAAGAGTGGTGCGATATAAGAGGAGTACGGCAAGTTACCGAAGACGTTTTACTGGCATATTTTAATATAATGGAAACTGAAAATAAATGGAAATCTTCTACAATGTGGTCACGATACTCTATGATAAAATCCAATTTAGTTATTAGAAAAAATGTGGATATAAGCGAATTTTTTAAAGTTACGTGCCTTTCTGAAAAAAACAAGCGAAGGATATACTGCAAAGAAGTCTAAAATTTTCACTAAAGACGAGTTTGATAAACTTTTGTTTGAAGCAGATAAGTTGTATTTAGGATTAAAGGTAAAAAAATTATATTGCAAAGCATGTAGTATACTAAATTATAAAAACATTACAGATTGTTTTGTTAATTGGGGTTACCGGCGCCTGTCGATGCGACGAAATCGTAAAAATAAAGACTGTGGATATTGAGGATAAAGAAAATGTAATAATTATCAAAATCCCAGACAGTAAAACACGACAAATTAGATCTTTTACGATAATTGGTCAAAACTACTACTGTATAAAAAGTATGCATCACTGCGCTCTGAAAATTTCACAGAAAACCGATTTTTTATCAAGTACCAAAATGGAAAGTGTTACTGAAGCGTCATGGAATACATCGATCAGCGCAGTAGCCCAAAAAGTACCTAGTTATTTAAATTTAAACGATGCAAGCGCATACACGGGTCTCTCTTTACGACGAACTTCAGCAACACTTTTAATTGATGGAGGCGGAAATCTAGAAAGCCTCAAACGCCATGGGCCTGGAAATCAAGCACGGTTGCCGAAGGATATATAGAGGATCCAATAAGAAATAAGAACGATAATGCTCAAAACATTTTAAAACCCTCATGATTCGCCAACATCGGGAATGATTGCTGAAAGTTGCTCTCGACCATCAGTATCATCAACAATTACCAATGCGTATCCAGAGTCGGGAACATTTTTGCACGGTTTCAAGTTTGAAAATGCCTCATTAACAAATTGTACTTTTAATATTACTATAAATAAAAATGCTGTTTAATTGTTGTTAATAACATTTGTATTGTTGCTTTGTGACATGTTTCATATTGTTTCCATGACAACATTTTTCCCTCCGCCGTAAAGAAAGGGGAAAAAAAACTGCTGCTGGCGGAGACATCAAACTTTGACAGGATCAAATTAGATAAGTAATGTCATCATTATTTGACGTTTGTTGTGTTAATTTTTGCTATTTCGTGTCAATCCATTTAAATCTATGGTGTAGATCGATAGTTGCACTTTCTGTGAGAATGACGTTAGTGGGAGAAAAAATCATTATTAATTAATAGGTTATGTTAGTAAACACTGCAAAAAGTATTGAGAAGGAATTTTATTAGAATGCTGACTGATTCTTCTAAGTTTTACTTCTAATACTAAGTTTATTTAAAATGGAATATATAGTAATTGGTGAATTATAATTTATATAAATGAATTTGTGTATAGGTCAAAACTCGGAATGATTCTTATGAGGCATTCAAAAAATATATGATTTAGGTGCTCTATTAGGCCACATCCACCAGTAAGGGTTGTTTGTTTGTTTGTTTTTTTTTCTTGTTTGTCATAATAAATATAATGTCAGACCAATCAGATAAACTGCTCAAAATAATCAAATCTTACTAAGAGTCGTATGAGGTCTTTTTAGGAACCAGCTGTACCTATATTCCTGTTATAGTAAGGTAAGACTTGGATAATAGAGAAATTCACAGAACGACTCACAAACGTAGTTACCTACAGAGACACCACGATAGAATTAATTTATAATAAAATAAGTTCATTATAAAAAATTATGAAATAACGACTACACTACGTACAAATTACAGAATTTTCCAACGGTTGACAATCTAAAATTTGAGTCTTGCAAATGAGTCACCATCTTCACTAGATTGTTGGACTTTGATTAATGTTTATCGAATCATAATCTTTGTGTTAGTAGGATTAAGGATAACTTATAGTGATGGATACTGTCTTATTCTTTTTGTGTCTGGTTTTATGACGAATGACATTTTTATTTGTTTATAGGTCTGAACTGCTAAGACAAAAGCAAGTGCCACCAACTAGGGCGTATGTTACACTTCTATCTTTATATGACACATTTAATAAAGAATCCAAACGCCAAGGGCTCAGTAAATATCATGTAAGTATGACTTTCTTTTAAATGTTATCTACAATTTAACACATTTGCCAATCGACTAATCAAAATCAATACTTCCGCACTGATTTGTATTATATCGTAGACATTAAAATTTTGACATACTGGAAGTTGTAATAATAAATATAATGAAATAAAAATATATGAATTGTACGAAAAACGTAATAGAAACATTTATATTTTCTTCTAAACATTTTAGGGTTACCCACAGAAGATACTCAAGGAACTGGCTGATCTATCTACCAGTACTTCTGCCTACCAACTGCAATACACTTTAAAGAAAGTCGTGGAACACCGTGACACTTCCAGGTCTGATATTATTAAGAAAGTAAATCAACTGGTTGGTGAGTTGGACGATCCAAACAGTTATATCAACGTGGCCTTGAAGTATATTCCTCCCCTAGTGTTTGCTTTGTAAAAGACTGTCTAAGTTAATAAGTTAGAAATAAATGTACTGTAATGATTATTAAATAAATGAAAGATATTGTGATTTGTTTGATTTTTGATTAAAATTTTCACAGAAAGAAAAGTAATGGCAGAATATGTAATCCTCCATGGAACCGAAATTTGCTGAAAACCGCCGCTTCTTTTCGATCCAACGGCAGTTCATCATAGTAGATTCTTGGAATGACGTCTTTTGTTTAGTATAACAGAGGCTGGATATTTCTCTGCGATCCAGTGATCCAGTTCAGGAATAACACCTGCCCACGCGAGCGCATGGATTTCCCCAGCCTCCCATCCCCGGGGAAACAATATCCAAACCCAAAGCATTTCCATCTCCGCCCTTTCATCCTCCCAGTTCCAAACCAACTCGCCAACATGTTCTAGCCAAGCGTGACGTTTTAATGGCTTAAAACCCCAAAACTTCCATAAAAGTCGAAAATACTGAACGTCCCTCAGTCTCCGACGGCTCCAACACCCAAAAACCAAAGAAGTAGTTGGAGCAAGAGGGTGCTAAGAATCCCCGGAAAAAATCAGGCTACTACAAAGAGCGACAAATGCATATTACTTCATACAATGTTAGAACTCTTATATCAGACCAGAAAATGATGGAACTGGAGGAAGACCTAAAAAGAATATGATGGGGCACCATTGGCCTCAGCGAAATAAGACGAAGAGGAAAAGCCCAAATTAGTTTTAAATTGGGACATATATTACAATTTAGAGGTGAAGAAGACACTACAAATGGTAGAGTAGGATTCATTATAATGGAAAGCACACACAAATATAGTTGAAATTATCAGCAAAAGTCACAGGATTGTATATCTTATCTTCAAACTAAATGCAAGATATAACCTTAAGGTAATCCAGACATATGCTCCAACAACTACCCACTCGGATGAAGAAATTGAAGAATTTGTGAGGACCTAGAAAACAGCGTTATATGCCACACCAGCATATTACACAATCATTATGGGCGACTTTAATGCGAAAATGGGGTTTAAACAAGATGATGCAAGAGTAGCAATGGATAAGTGTGAATATGGAGTAAGCAATGTATGAGGGCGAAGATTGCTGAACTTCTTACACTAGGAAAATTTATTCATGATAAACTCTTTTTTCGATAAAAAGGCTCAGCGTAAATGGACATGGATCAGCCCAGATAGCAGTGTCAAAAATGAAATAGATTACATTATATCATAACAAATAGAAAATAAATAATCAAAGAAATCGAAGTACTCAACAGGGTGTTGACAAAGTGTGTGGATTTTTCCCGCTAGAATCGAAACCGGTCTCTGGGGCCAAGGTTAGTAAGCCCGTTATTTTTCTATTAGAAAATTCTCACCACAGTTCTCTTTTTGGCGTTAGTTTTTAGTAGAATAACGTAACTTTTTGTTACAGCATATTTTTCATGGCGATAGGAGATTGTGAAGAGAGATGAATCTGACAATCAACAAACACAAGACGATGACGATGGCGAGAGCATTGTTTTTGACGAATTAGAAACTCAAGACCACAATACTAACACAGGAAGAATTTAAAGAAAATAGTTGAAATGCAAATCTTGACGAAAATGACCCTCTTCATATAATTTCGTATTTTCTCGGAAACAATAAGATTATCAGGTGGAATAAGCATGTCAATGGAGACATACCGATTGACGATGTCCCTAGAAAGGATTATGTTAAGTAAACAGAGGTATTATTGCCAATATGATCGCCAACGTTCAATAATCGAACAGGGTATTAAAAGAAGAAGAAGAAGAAATATGATACAACCATAAAAGCATATACATAACACAGCGTTTAATTTCCAATAAACAGTAAATAAATATGCGTATATTTATGTAACTACAAATAATCGGTCTCAGAAACCTGGGTTAGTAAGGGTGTAATTTCCAACCAGGTTTCCAACTTGGTTAAAAATAACCATAGACGTAAGGTGCTAATAGAATGTTAATATATACGTATATGGTTAGTGCAGGAGGATTAATCATTTCATTTTATACCATTCCAGTTGTACGCACTGTAATGTAAGTTGCATAACAACGGCAATACATGTACTAAAATATAGTTATCTCTTCAATTTAGATAGATATAAGCATTCAAGAGATCTTGGAGCACACAAAACAACACGTGCTGCAAATTCTAGTGAATATATTGATAAAAACAAATGTCAAAGGGATTTATAAAAAAGAAAATTTCAAGCCACTAATAATGTATAGGTACCTATAACTAACTATATCTATATTCTTAACGAAGTATTAGCCCCATTGGTCTCAAAATTTCAAAATATATAAGAGAAAAATAAAGACTAAATAAGGGCAACTGTGATAGAAGAATAAGGATAAAGATTTTCTCAAAGATAGAAAATTTTCATAATAACTTTGCATACGCTTGCTGTTAACAGCTATTTCAGACATTAGGAAAAATAAAAACACTCCTCTTTTAATGACCCGAACTGGTCAAGAATAATCTAAAATTCATGTAACATCATTGATTAGTTTTTGAAATTCTTGAAGGTTTCTTTCAATTACTAAAACCAGTGTATAGGCAACTCCTATTACGAAAAAGCTGAAAGCTTTACAATTTCATAATTTTTTCAATCAAATTTCTTTTCAGTAGCAGTTTTTGTAGGTATATATTTTTTAACTTTTTTCAAAATACTTTTTACCAATAACCCTTTTTATCACGCTTTAATAAAATAGTATAATCCGGGTATAAACAACGTAGATTTTTGAAATTTCATCAAATATGAGGTATTTTTTGGGTTTTAAATATACCATACTTAAATAACAATAAATATTTATTTATTTTATGTATGATTTTGATGTGACAGCTAAAATGCAAACAAACAAAAGAAACCTCTACGCATTGAAAAATGATTGCTAATATTTTGCAGTTCCTCCTTCATTATCAATTACGACCTGTAGTCGTCGCTAGTCATTGATTCGATCCATTTGCTAGTGTACTCTGGGGAAATAATTGTGCCTCAAGCTTCAATAATTTTTACTTTCAATTCATTTCTATTTGACATGTGATATTGGGCACTGTTTACTTTATTTTTTAATGCAAACAACAAATTTTCAATATCATTCAAATCCGATTACTGTACTGGTGTTTTAATAACATTTCGGCGATTCAAAAGCATCCAAGTAAGAACCTGATATGACGTATGTTCGCGTGGATTGTTGTCCTAATAAAACCGGTAATTGTTATTATAATCCCAATTTTTGAGCACTAGCAGTGAGAAACTGCCTTAGTGTATCAAAAAACATGTATTAGTCAATATTCCCTTTAATATAATGCATGTTACTCCTGCATATGACATATACGCCCATATCATCACTACTCCTCCACCGTACTTTACCTTAGCTTTCATATTTTTTAATTTTCATTCTTCATTCGACTTCTTAAACGCCGATATTTTTCAATCGGGCCCAAAAAGATTATTTTGGGTTCATCAGCAAATATTACTGAATTCCAATAGTTCAAATCTTTGTTAATTTGCTCCTTAGCGAACATTAATCTAATACGCCTATTTCTTTGGCTAATAATGAGTTTATTTCTAGGAGTTCGACCATATAGGTTATTCTTTCGTAATATCCGTCCAATTGTTTCGAGTTACACCTTTTTCCAAACTGTCTTTCCACCTCATTTTTCTCACGTTCGGTAAAAATCTTATTTGGAGCTAACCTTGATTTATTTTCAACACTATTTTCATTTGGATAACGTTCAATAATGTGTTTAAACTGTTGATGAACATTTATTTACCATTTTGGATATGTCCCTTTGGCTATATCCATTTCTATGATCAGTAATAATCAAGGTCAATACAATCGTAGTTCGGTGATCCACTCTTAAATATTTTCCTACTTCGCAAATTTCAAATTGATAAGTTTTGTAATGTTTCATCTTATCTGCATCATCTTAACAGTGAAATCAGAATCATACATAAAATAATTAAACATCTATTGTTAGTTAAGTACGGTATATTTAAAACCCAAAAAATAGCTTATGCTAGTTTAGAAGACTTATAGTAATTTAATTTTGCCGCTGGTAGTTACTGTGAGCCACTGTAAATCAAAAGACCAACAACAAATACGCGTAGAAAAACCGCAACGTAGGCAACCAACTTTATCGTAGTGTAATATGTTTTGCTTTATAAAAATAAATTGTAGAATAAGAAAGTACTTTCTTCTTTTGTCTTATTTTATTTTTTTTTTCATAAATTATTATAAAATATATTAGCAGTATGACTAGAGGTGTAAAAGATCGCAAACATTAGTGATGATAAATATTTTGTCAACTACCCAATTCGTATTTAAATTTAATGATACAAAACAAATCCTTCATTATGATTTACATTTCTGCAGTTGCACATTTTTTATTAGGTATCTCTGAACAGATGGAACTATTTCATAGTTTCTTACACTCTTTACCTCGAAAATAGTTTTAATGGTGAGAGTGTCTACCCGTTTATTTTTTTTAAAGAACCCTTAATTAGTCCAGTCATCAGATATTTGACTTCTAAAAATCATACGAACAAGCTTAATTTTGCTGAGGACGTCAATTTTGTGACCCCAAAAAATTTACCACTTTTACGGCGTCCTCCTAAAACCCCCTCGTAGGAGAGAAAAACAGAAAACATGGATTTACCAAAAAACTGTATGCTGTAGAAAAAAATGTTTCGATCAAAAAATGTAGCTGATATAATTTTGACCAAAAATGTTATAACACTTTTTCTGTAGAATCAACAGTTCTCTCAGAAACAAGGCTTGAAGTGACCGGCGATTTTAAATGTTAAATAAGCGCGCGAAATTAATTTTCAATTTCAATCAATTCTCAGCTACATTTCATGCTCGTAAGATTCAACAGATTTTTGGTAAATCAATTTTTTCGTTATTCCCCTCTACAAGAGGGGTTTGGAATAAGTTAAACAACGCTACTGTTTCAAAATATATAATTTAACATATGTACAAATATGTATAACAAAACAAACATATTTATGCGATATTATCAACTATCCTGACAACTTCAGGAACATTCTCCAACTTGTCAAACAATTTCTGACACACTTCTAACTCTGAATCTTGTAAAGGTTGCAAATTAAAGGGAACATATTCAACTTCTGCACTAGTAATTTTATAGCCCAACTTCTCTAATTCTCCCACTACTTGGTTCAAGTTCGATTTGCCACAAGAAAATTGAACTAGGTTATTTTCTATCACTTTCACATCTTCAGCTCCTGATTCAATAGCATGGTCTGTGGCTTTTTCTAAAATTTCCTCTTCTGGTTTACCTGCTAATGATTGGTTTTCTGCTTCTATTTGTCCTTTTTCCTCAACAAATGCGACCCACCACCATCACTAAATTTAGATCTAGAAAAAGGATTTTACTGTAGATTACACAAAAAATCATTTGTTTTAAATAACACAAAAAAGTGACATAAGTAGTGAAGTTTAGGTAATGTCTATTATCTTCTTTCTTCTTTCATTTATAAGAAAATCTGCTACCTTGATTTAAACAAAAATAAATTTGAGGAATTATAGAAGAAGAAAAATTGATCCCATGGTAAATTAAGTAAAAAAATATCTCGTTCTGCATTTTCTTTGTTGAATATTAAAAACAATGGTTAAAACCGGTCATAAATTACTTTTATTCACATATTTCACTTGTCAATAACACTTAATATTTGGCATCAAATATCTGGCATAGTTCTTCTCATGATATTCATTAATTTGGAGAGAAATATATCGAAATAGTACTCATGTTGTCCAAAAACACATTTGCAAGCAAAAACATTGAAATCATCCAAAGAGTCAATTTTTCTAAAGGTTTCTAATCAATGTAATAACACTATATTAGGTTCCAGCATTAAAATGTTGGAATCACTGAAATAGGGAAACAAGTGATAAAGTTGTAAGTACTAAATTTGTACTGTGATCTCCAGGGCAATAAGAGATTCACAAGAAATGTTTTTCTTTACATATAATGAGAAAATTCACAGTTTTACAGAAATTCTACCAAATGACGAACCCAAATACAAAAGAATGGCAAACTAGATGAAATATACACAGTAAATTTGAATCTTTAGATTAAAAATACTTACAATTGAGTTATGATAACTGTCTTAAACAAACAGTATGCTAAATGATTATAATAATGTTTAAAGTTTGCTACTTACTGATGTTTCTTTAAAATTGTACTAAGTGTCATCTTTACACTATGTAGTTGACTTGTGAAGACTTCACATAAAATAAAACAGCTGCCAGGGCCTCTACAAACAAAGAAAAACAGATAACAAGGTCACATTTTCTTTGTTATTCATTCAATAAGTATCATGATCATAGTCGGTATGATCTGCATATATCAGGGCACATACATTCATCATTAATGAAAAATCCACATGTATAAAACAGTGTTTTGAAGATTATTTTCTAATTGAAATGTACTATATTTAATATTCTGAAAGAATAACTCTATTACGATAATAGAACAGTTCATAACTTGTATCAGTGTTACTTATTATAAAAATTATAAATAAAATAATTAAATGCCTACTTGATTTCCAACATATAACTCTTGTCTTGGGATTTACTATTTTCACAGCTCTTTAATATACTCTGTAAAGTAGCTACTGGCATATTAGCTCTTCTAGTTTGTTCTATAATTTGACTTAATTGTAGATTTTTCTTAGGATCAACAGATCCTCCTTCTAAAAGAACAACAACAGAAAATAATTATATATTAACATTAAACTATTATTCAATTCTATTAGAGGTTAATATATATTTAAAGAGTTACATGCCTTGAACGGCCACTTTGATTTGTCGTCCTAGTTTGGTGAAAAGTCGGGCTCTTTCTGCATCTTTGACACCCTTTATGTGTCGGATATTGGCCCATTTTGAGTGACCCGCAAACCTTTTAGATTGAACTACTATATTTTTATTAAACCTTTCATATGATAGTGAAATGGGCCTCAAAAACTGTTTTAACATGTCTGTTGTTATTCAATTGCTATTTAGCCTAAAAGTGAGGTTATGAAGGAATGTCAAAAAAAATTATTTTTTTATGTAGGTTTTCCAGCCCTACATCTTATAGATTGGTTTTTTATTTTAGGTTAATTATATTTCTTTTTATATAATTCTATATTCTCAATAATTCTAAATGTTGGTTTTAAGAAATATAAATAAAACTGAAGCAACATTGGTCGAACGAAATGTGAATTGCCTACATTTGGCGGCATAATGGAGTAAATTGCGGTCCGTCCGGTCAAGATTGAACAGCAATGACTTCTGTCTGTAACTTGAAGATTTGTTTAAAGTATGTCTTTTGGCTAAATATTTCTAAATTAGGAGCCATATACACTAATTGCAGGACAAAATATGCTTTAAAAACGTTTTATAAATACCTATATTGCAAGTTTTTTATTAATAATTAGACGTTTTTTCAATTTTTTTTAAATCTAGATTTAAAACAGTAGGAACGGAAAAAACGGAAAAACAATAACACAAATATTATGACAGTTGTTCATTAAAATTCCAAACAACTGTTTTTCGCGCAAGAAAATTATATACCACAAAAAACGGAAGAAAATGTTGAAATATCATTGAAATTTATAAAAGATAAATGAATAAAAATACATAAAAAGGCCAAAAAACTTGTTTAGAGTATTTGATCAAACGTATTATAAAACTGCCGCAGAATTGGAACCTTAAAGCTCAATATTAGCTAATTAATTACTAATTCTTGATATATTTCTACAAAATAATTACAAAAAACAGAAATATAGCAACAAGAGACTAATTTATTTGTACATTAAATTTGTAAATTGCCTTTTATTCTTATCTTTGTACTTTTATTGTATCGTAGTTGCAGTAAACTTCTGAAAAATATATTTGTTTTATTAAATAACATCTTTAGGTTGTGTCTTTTGACGACAAACACAAAGTTCTCGCATTCTCCTATTTTTAAGGAAACTTCCTTTAATTTTAAGAGAGTTTCTCAAGGTTTTATTATCCTTTAACGTAACGCGACACTAATTCCAAAGCTCTCTTCCAACTTTTTTACAACTTTCAAGTGATTTCTCTACGTACATCTCCTGCGGCGTCAGATCCCAACGTGGCGTCGCAACGCTCTGGCGTCGGCCGGCTTTTAGTCTAGACTACAAAATGGACGCCAGATTAAATGTGGCATCCGGAATGATGCGGATGGAGTTTCTCACAGAAATTCCCAGAGTTAATCTACGAATACGAATGTTCTAAGTATGTATGTGCACCAAATAAAAAATAACTGATTCGAATAATGTAATGAGGTCGTGACGAAGATCCCGGCTACGGAGTAAATTACACAGACAATACGAGAACGAGAAATCTTCTTTTAATTTGTTGGATTGGCAACGAAATGAAAAATTCATTTAAAAAGTTGTATCAAGTTTGTTTCTCTTTCATTTTTGCGTTTGCTAGATAAAATGTGATAATTTCTTTTTAATCAAATCCTTTGGTCCTTTTATTATAAATAATCACATTTTATTTAATTTATTTTATCTTTTTGAAACTGTTTCCACCAAAATATTGTTAATGTGGTAATCTTCTTCTTCTTCTTCGTCTAGCCATTCACGTCCACATCTGAACATAAGTCTCTTCCAGTCTTCCTTTCCATTGTTTTTTATTGTACGCTACTTGTAGCCAATTTTTCCCGGCAGTCCTTTTCAGATCATCTGTCCATCTCAGAGGAGGTCTGCCTCTGGGTCTTTTGTGTTGGTATGGTCTCCAGGTTAAAATTGATCTGTGCCATTTGTTTAGATCGCTCCTAGCTACATGTCCAGCGTATTCCCATTTCAACTTTAATGATTTTTGCACCACATCGGTGACTTTGGTTTTCTGTCTTATCCATGTGTTTGTTTTCTTGTCCTTAAGTGATATACCTAGCATTGCTCTTTCCATCGCGTGTTGAGTGACTCTAAGTATATTCATATTCTTTTTTGTGATTGTCCATGTTTGTGCCGTATAAGTTAATATCGGAATAATGCATACATCAAAAACTTTAGATCTAAGATGTAATTGAATTTGTTGTTTTCTGAGTATATAGTTCAGTTTACCGAATGTTGACCAAGCTAACTTTCTTCTTTTTTTTATTTCTTCAGTTTGAATTTCCCTATTTAGGATTATTTTTTGTCCTAAGTATATATATTCTTCAACTTTTTCTATAACTTTATCGTTTATTATTGTCACGGTGTGTTCGGAGTGCATGACTTTTGTTTTGTTTAAATTCATTTTCAGTCCTATTTTAGAAGATTCGGTATGTAGTTCTAAAAGCATGGTTTGCATTTCTTGTAGGTCAGTAGCTATCAGGATTATGTCATCTGCAAATCGTAGATTACTGAGGTAGCGGCCATTGATGTTTATTCCCTTATATTTCCAATTTAGGTTTTTAAAAACGTCCTCCAAAACTAAGGTGAACAGTTTGGGTGATAAAGTATCTCCCTGTTTGACTCCCCTGTTTAATGGTACAGGGTTCGGTGTGTTCATTTTCATTTAGGTAGTATGTAGCTGTAGCTTTCTTCATAGTTTCTTTTATTAAGTTAATATATCTGCTGTCTATTCTACAATTTTGCATTGCGTTTATTACGGCCGTGTGTGTCTATGGTATCGAAAGCTTTTTCGTAGTCTACAAATGCTAGGAAAACTGGAAACTTGTATTCGTTACATTTTTCTATTAATATTTTTGTGGTTAACAGGTGATCGGAAGTTGAGAGTAGCCTTTTCTAAAACCTGCCTGTTCATATGGTTGGTATTCCACTAATTTCCTTGTTAGTCGAGTAGTTATGACTTTGGTGAATATTTTAAACAGGTGTGACAGTAGGCTGATGGGTCTGTAGTTTTCCAATTTTCGACAATCACCTTTCTTCTGTAATAAGATTACTTTAGAGTTGTTCCAGCTCTTAGGGACTTTGCCCTGATGTAAACAACTGTCCACAAGTTTAGATACAATTGCAATTACTTCCTTACCTCCTTCTAATATCATATCTGTGGTAATACTATCTTCTCCTGCAGCTTTACTTCTCTTCATGTTTTCCAATGCTGTAGTTACCTCTGAAATTGTTACTTTTGGCATTATTTCTGATCCAACATTTTTTATTAATTTCCGTGCTGGTCTCATCCCATCATCTTGTTGATGTGATCTGTAAAGTTCTGTGTAAAATTCTTCTATTCGTATCAGTATGTTTTCTCTACTTGTGATTTCATTTTCGTCTTTTCCAATTAATGATATCATCTGACGTCGTCCTAGTGTCGGTCTGAGGCATTTTATACTCTTATTTTTTTTTCAATAGTTGTTGTTATTAATTTTTCGTTTTCTTTTCTTTTTTGTTGTCTGATTCCTTTTCTAATCTGCCTATTAAGTTCTCTATATTCGTCGGTTCCCCTTTTGTTAGATTTATTTAAGATCTTCCTTCTTTCTATTTGTTGTAATATTTCTTTGTCTAATTCATTGTATGTTGTTTTTGGACTTTTTTCAGTTGCAGAAGGCTTTTATTCACTGTTTCGGTAATAAGGTTATTCAAATCATCAATATCATTCGAGTTTATCTACTTCATGCTAACTTGATTTAATGCATGCACTATCTTTTTATTAAATTCACTATTTTTGATTTCTTCAGATGTCTATTTGTATCTTTTTTCATGTATTCTTTTTCTTTCTAGTTTTTTGTTAATTATAAGTTTTGTTCTTATTAGTCTATGATCGCTTCCTAGGTCAAACTAATTGAATACTGATACGTCTTCTACTAGGTTTCTATTCTTCGTTAAGATATAATCTATTTCATTCTTTGTCTTTTTATCGGGACCCATCCATGTCCATTTTCTGCTTGGTTTTTTATTGAAAAAGGAGTTCATTGAGTACATGTTATGTTCATTCATGAAATTAAGAAGCATTTCTCCTCTATCGTTTCTTTTCCCGTAGCCATAGTTACCAATTAAATGTTTATAATCTTCCTCTTTTTTACCCAATTTAGCATTAAAATCTCCTAATAATATTTTGTAATTTGCTTTATTTGTTTCTATTTGTTTTATTTGTTTCTAATGTGGTAATAATTCTACAATAATATAGCTAATAATAAATCAATGAGTAATCTACCGACCCTCAACATAAGGGCAACTTGCACGGCAAGTATCCCTGCTACCCTCTGGGTATTGGTGCTACGAATACCCAGAAAGCATCCTTCATTCGCAAAGGGGCACGCCTGATAGAAGAACTGACAAACCACCGTAGGAAATAAAAATAAATCGTACCCAAGCCAAGAAGAAGTCATGAGTCTTTGGGAAATCAATTTTTAACGCCAGCTGCTCTTAACACTAATGATGGATTCAAGATACGAACAACTGTCAACAATACAGTAATATTCCCTATGAACCTTTCACCACTAAAGAAGTCTAGAAAATTATCAAAGAGCTTGATAACTGGAAATCTCCTGGTGTTGACGGAGCTAAAACCTCTGGCTAAAGAAGTTTTGTAGTGTTCATCAGTATTAATCAATATTAATTAATCATGTTGTTTCTAATGCGTAGGAAATACCATTGTTCCTTACTCTGTGAACCACTCATTTAATACAGAAGAGTCAAGATAACTTTGATGAGTCAAAGATGAGTCACTTCCTCACAAAGGCACAAAAACATCATTCACGATGTGCAGTAGAGATAACAACATTATCGTGGTA